CGCCCAGCTCTCGGCGAACGCGTACCTCATCCCCAAAGCTCCGGCGAGCTCCGACAGCGGCGTCATGTCCTTCTCCTCCTCCGCTCTCACGTCCTGCAGCGCCACCACGTCCGCGTCCACCTCCCTCAGCACCTCCAGAACCGTCCGATTGCTCCCCCAATCCCCGCCGCCGCCAAGGCTGGCCGTGCTGACGAAACGAGCGCTGCTCGACCTCTCTGGCGCTTTCCCGCCGAGAATCTCGAAGCTCAGCTGCCCGCTCCTCCTCAACGAAATCTCGTTGTCCGGTAAGTTTATCGAAACCCTCAACCTCGATCTCGCGAATTTCTGCTGCCTGGTGAGGGTTTCATGGGGGTTCGCGGCCGGGTGCCGCGGCGAGTGCTTGAGGATGCTTTTGGGGCCGTCGCTGGTGGATTTGGAGCCTCGAGTACCACGGTCGAGCTCCGCGAGCGAGGTGTTCGACGATTTGCCTGTGTGAGGAACCGCCGGCGCCATGGAGAAGAACGCGGCGTTGAACGTGGCGAAACGGATGGTCCTCGGGGCGCCGGGATCGGCGGCGGTGTTGGTGCTGGGGTGGATCACGGCGGAGGAGGCGGCGGCGGGGTCGTTCTGATCGGCGGCGCGAGATCTCGAGCTGGATTTCCCGAGGTTTTTCACGGCGACCTTCGGTCGCGGCCGGCGGCGGCGGCGGGTGGCCGGCCACCGGATTTTCAAGCAGAGGCGCCGGAGCTTGCTGTTGAGAAGTTTGAGCATAATTTTTTTGATATTTCCGATTTTAATTTGCGGCTTTATCTAATATTATTATTTAGTTTATATTTAATTTTAGTGAGCTTTTGTTGTGGTGTGAGAGTTGTAACTTCTAAGCATGAAATGCGAATGGTAGTATAATATAAGTGCAGAGAGAGATGGAATTCTGTTTTCTTTGAGGTCGAAAATGAGGGGGTTGACAGGTCAAATAGTCAATGGGATTTTTATTTTTTATTTTTCCTTTTCAGAAATTTCATTAATTTAGGTTCGAAAAATAAGACAACTATTTGTTCTGAGAAATATATAGATTTGGGATTGAAAGATAAAGATAAGAGGAAATTATACGGTGAATAATTTCGTCGAGATTTCAACCGTTAGATTAACTATTCACGATGGTTATATGATGATTTAACGATTATAAATCTCGAC